TCATCATATGGCTTATACTGACAAATAAATGAACCTATATTTTATAATTCCGATATGTCATAAACACATGATATATCCAGAAATTCAATAAAAATATTTTCTTTCTAAATAACTGAATACATAGTTCAGTTGGTCCTAACGATGTTATTTTAAAAGGGCTTCATTTGATGAATTTCATATTTAAAAAAGAAACTATAGGACTATGGGAAATAAAACAAATCAGAAATTAGAACTACAATAGTAAAAATTTCTCGCAGTTATCCAATCATGAAATAGATTGGTTTGTAAGCGTTAACACGATGCATACATATACAAATAACTTATACGAATTTGAGGTGGTACAATTACATTTCCAGTCTCCATAGACATGATTATATATATATATAATTATGACAGGATTACGATCACTAAGATGAATTCCATTTAGTCTAAGTGTCTGGATCTAATTAAATCAAACATGAAACTTAATTTATTGATTACAATGTTTATCCTTTTTACTACATGAGCATCATTAGACTGCTTTTAAAACTTATAATTAATATTCAAAAAAAAATATTGAAAGGAGCAAGAACAAGGATTCTAGCAGAATAGCATGAATTCACTTTATTCCGTCAGCTGCTTACAACCTGTGATGTATACAAAACATAATTACAAAATGGGTTTAAATTATTTACATGAAAGAGTTTAGTCGGAAGTTATGTTGAAGACACACTAGTATAACAAGGGTGTAAGTAAATTTAATAGACTGAATAATGTAAATGAACACCTAATCTAAGAGAAATTTCTACAACATTGGTTGCAACAACAGTTCAAACGGCCAGAAACAAGTGTTGGTATGAAAATGAATTGACAATAATATTTACAGAAGGAATGGTCAAGATTGAGACAATTGATTGATAGTTTGCAAATTAACTGTTTACTATCTAGTTGTCAGATTTTAGTGAGATATCCTGTAATTTTAGTGTCAAATATATACGGTTATCCCCACTCTTCTTCGTGTTCACTACAGTATTACTTTCACTACTTTTATTCATAGGTTCGAGACAGTGATATTATGTTTCTTTTCCAAGAAACAAAATTCAGATCCAGACGATAATGATTGTCTTTTTTGCATCAAAGAAAAGACAGTTTTGCATTGAATAATAATAATAACAATAAATTATTCAGCGTTAAAGATATAAAAGTGCAACTTATTTATTCTTTTACAACGCAATAAATTATTGACAAATTATAGTTGCCTTGATGAATAGATAAACAGTCGCATCAATCGATAGAGAGAAAGATGTCGCATTGAATCTGTCGTTAGTTTTAAAATTAGAAACACTAACAGATATTGGTGAATTTGAAAAATTCATAGTTGTAGAAGTAGAGATGATATATTTAATTATGTCATTCACTACTAGAATTTATAGTAATGAACAATATGCTACTGAACTGATTGAAATAACAAAGTACACGTGATTAGAACAAATCAATTGTTTTAATATGATCAATTTGAAATGAATAAAAATGCAATGTAACTCTTGAAAAAGAAACTGTATAAACTACAGTAGGGTATTGGTGGATATTCAAATGATAATTTTGATAAATCACTGACCGAAACATGAATCAAATTGTTTAACGACTGATTAGGAAGAAGTATATTCGATGATAAGATGAAAACTGACTATAGTCAGTTTAATTCATATAAATGAATAAACTATGAAATTCTCCAAATTGGCTATTACTATTGGTGTTGTTTTTTACATTCAAATTGAACAGCTGATGAGTCCCACAATAGGACAAAACGCTCGTCTCGCGCTACCAGGTTTTCAATGGTGGTTTAGTTTATTTAGATCGACTCGTGAATTCAACTTTGAAAATACTACGATCTTCACAAACCCCCGTATTCAACTTAACACTTGGTATTATTTGCACTTTTTGAGAGTTTCTATTTTATTGTGAATCATTTGAAGAAACAATCACAATGCATTCGTTAGTTTGGAATTATTCCATAGTGTAAATTTATTATACAACTTCGAGTAAAATGTCGCGTTAGTCCATCCAGTTAAAAAAACGAGAAAATATGAAGTCGAAAACTTAGTGTTAGTATTTTTCAACTGTAAACTTAGTTTAAAGTCATAGTTGAAGCACTATGCTAACCACTGAATATTATTTGTTTTCATACGTCATATATTCCAATATAAACTTTGAGCAATCCATTTCCAAGCTAAAAGCTAATCAGCATATGACCATTACATTTTCATTAATTTAGTCATTAGGTAGTGATACTTATTGCCAATGATCGCTCAATTGATTCTGGTTCCCAGTGATGTTTTAAAACTGATGTCAATGTTTTTATTTCAAAAATGGGAGAAATAACTCATAAGTAACAAATAGAATTTGGGATTAGTGTATCACAATCATCGCACATAGAAAAATCATAGATGCCTTAATTAATGTTGCAAACAAAAGGATAGTATATTATTGAGATCATAAACCGATCAATGCTAGACCATCATTGAAAACATGGAAGCACTAAATGGCCGTTTCGCCCTAGTATGGGACTCTTCAACAGTGTGCACCCAAGATCCCACACGCGGGTTTCAATTTCAGGACTTTCAGTCTCGTGCGCCAACGATTAACCTGTACACCACTGAACCGGCATCTAACGGTGTTAATTTCTAACTACGACCAATCCACGATATTGCGCCACCCTCCACTGTTTTTGGTGTGTAACTACCTCAAAATCAACACGGATTAACTCCACTGGTCATGCCTTCTCACTAGAATTCTGAAAATTACCTCTCGAAGCTAGTCACTAGCGCTTCCAGGTTTTAAATGGTGGTCTAACATCGATTAATTCATGATGCTAATAGAAACTCAACAGTCTCCACAACCCTATACTGACAGTATAATATGTTAAGTGGAAACATGATTGAGAAATTGAGACAATAAAAATTAAGTATACAAAGTAGAAAACATAAAATAAAAAAGATGTAACATTCAAATATGAATCGACCAGAACGGAAATATTCAACTTTATTACACTTTGCAAGAACAATGATAAATGTGGCTATTCGGTACAAAAGACTGCAACATCTTATAATCCCTTAGTCTCACTTTAAACCGTACAACAGTAAAAGTTTCAATTCTTGGAAATTTTTAAAAAATGTAGTAAATTTTTCGTCACAGTTGTGTAAAAATACTATTCAGCAATTGAATTCATACGTTGATGTTACCTTACATATAGATGATGGATAGTAAAACAAAAAACGAAATTCGGTAGTGATATTTGACAGTTGTTATCTGGTCAGAATTTACAACCATCTTTGATTATACATAATAATACACTCGTGATTGTTAAGATTTATTTCAGACTAACATATAATATGTATTTTTTCTTTCCTCACAAGAATCATGAGAAATATTAGTAAACTTTATAACCGTTTTTAGTGGTCGGTAATGCTTTATTCTGAAAGAATCCCACCAGAATATTAGTTAAAAACAAGAATTATTTAAACTTCAAGCAAGAAATTAAAATTATTTCACGCTAAGAAAAATTCCTTTTTCTTAATGACCGACTCATAAAACCATACTTCATTTGTTGTTTAGGTTTTTTTATCATTTGGTACTCGAAGTTAGTGAAGAATAAGAAGTTCCATAAAACTATATTGTTGGGCTCTATCTGTATCGAATTATTCAGTTATATTATATTGCTAGAACGGTGTCAAATTATCTAGCTGTTTCTTTCTTTCTACTAAATCATAGCTCTGACGAATAAAACAATACCTTGGTGACTTCTTTGCAATTCCTATTCCTATTCCTACTATGTGATCGATTACATTCTCTTCTAGTTTGCTACTTTGTTGTATGGTATACAGCCCTTAATTTTGTCATTACTGTAACCATATATCACCTACGAAAGTCAATGAAGCATATAAGAGCATAATATTATAGTTTTTAACAACGGTGTCATTCATAACTATTTGTAAATGATACATAATAAAACAAATAAAAATCGTGTTACAAATATGGGATCTTCTGTCTAATGTGTAAATCAGTATCAAAGCAAAATCTCACGTTCTTCTAATGGAAATCATCTTCGAAAATAACTCAGGGTAACCAAATGGTGTTAGCTATTACGGAGGAAAATCAAACGATGGTATATGTTAGTGGGGTATACAAATAAATGTTAGTCTTAAACAGGAAGTGTTGGGAATTAGCCATAACAAGTTGGCAAGAACATTTATTTTTTTGAAATCTAACTTTTATTAACACTGATTGAATAATGGTCAATTTATATATCCGACCGACTAAAGTTGGGCAATGTTGGCTACAGATTCTCAACTAAATGGCTGAATAATATCATGCTTACTACGGAAGCTGACTGGTCGTAGATCCAATGTCGTATAGGGTCCGTTAGTGAATATCGTTAAAAGGTTTCAAACTAAAAGTAAACGAATGTTTGGTGCCATGCACTTTTTTCATGCTTCACCAGATGATTCTAGTTTTTAATGAAAACTATCCCACATATCACTAAAACCCAACATTGTTTTCCTATTACCAAACAGCTAATTCAAGCTATTTTATATCATCGTGATTGTAAGATCACCTTTGGCTGATTAACTGTTAAAACATATTTTAACGTTCTTAACATCTAGTCACTTTGATATAAATCGATTTCAAATGTCCTAGTTTTCTGTACTTATAGAAATTTATTCTTTATGGAGAGCTGTTATTTTACACTTTATACATGTAATCATATGAGATCTTGAGCCTGATGATACAGATTAATACTAAGTATGAAAGATATCCGGTTGACTTTCCTAGTATTTTGATTGGTAGTTCCTGATTGGATAAATTTTGAGTGAGCGATCGATCGCCGGCATATACAATATCTCATGGTTAGTGGGAAGTATTATTGGCGGAGGCGAAAATAACAATCTAATCACTGAGTGATTAATATACATTTTTGTATTTCAAAAGAACAGATAGATCATTTCTGTGAATAAACTTACATAAGCAGGAGATGATCCTGACACTCCAACAGCTGCATTAAATAAAGATTCCGGGATAGCTTCAAATACAGGAAAGATTGATGAACACAATGCAGAAATCAAATTAATATCTTGTTCAGTAACAGAAGATGTATGTGCATACACTGCAGTACCAACACCGACCAAACACGGTGTATTAGGCATCATACGGATAATTCTTGTAGATTTCGGCACAACCTATAAAGTATATCAATATAATCAGATTCATAAGATGTAATATAATGAACGTGTATTTTAGGAATTGAAATCATTTATTTAAATATATACATATAGTTTTGTAAACCGACTGTAATAATTAGAACAATCATGATAAATATTACTTGAAGTAATATATTACTGTACAACAAAATTTAGTAGCTCAGATAAATAATTAGATTTAAACCGCTCTTACATAACTATTAAATATAGATATCAAAGTTGGTAATAAACACCGTTTGTGAGTGTAAGCCGTAGTAAAAAAAAAAGAAAAAAAACATGAAATAGAAATAAATGATAAAACATAATGAGAAAACAAGTACACTTTTCACACTATTTTTAGAGAAGTAAAAGAGGGAAAACATTTTTGTCGTTAGATTTCTCGAGATTAAAAAAATTGGGTTAAATAAAATTAGCTGTTAAGAGCTACGGGAGAATAATTCATTAACAAGAACTAATACAGCTTTAAATTAAAAAAGGAAATGCTAGGATAGAGTAGGTGTCAGTAGTAAGTAACCGATAGACATGGATAAACAAGAGTACTATCTCACTAATTATTTTATGGCATTTATTTCTACCCTTCATGATCTGATGAGTAACTAATTTGCACTATTTTAACTGATCATTCGAAATATGAATAAATACTTTAATCCTGTAATGTGTTTAGTCAGTCGACTATTGGTTCTGTTGTGTTTTATTTTTTAAAAATCCACTCATTTTGAATTTTAGAGTTGATTGAATTTATAAATAACTAGTAAGAAAAACGTATCTGCAATACTTTTATTAGATCAATTGTACCATCATAATAAATATGACAAATAAGTTTAACAGATTCAAAGGTGTGAAATCAAGTTGAAGAAAGTCATTATACGGATAAAGGAAATCAGTCTTTTGACGGCAGCATCGCTGCGAATTCTTCAGTTGTGTTCTGATGCATTTGGTCTTTTCAATGATATCTTTTGACACGAGTGAATACTGTCTGGAAATAAAAGCTTATAATTGTTCAGGAATTATGTGACCTCAAGATAGGTAGATGATATATATATATATATGTGTATATATATATATATATATATATATATATATATATATATATATGCACAAAGATAAAGGCCAAGAACTTACGATGTAAATACTATGTGCTACAAGTAAGACGATATTTTAAGATTTTTCTGAATGAAAGAATAAGTAACGGTCTTAACAATCAACAAGCTTGTGAGAATGTGAACAAGTACTAACTGAGACACTACGACGTACAGTAAGGATACTTAGACACTACTTGTCGTCCACATGTAAGAATGAGTAGTACCGAAGTAAAAAAATTAAAAGAGCCAAAATCAATTGAATGATTTATAGCCACACTAGCCACTTAGTTTATTATACTTAGTTGTTTCGAATATAATTAGACAGCTTTAAGTAAAGGGCCTCTTCAAATGAACTTAGTTTGTGCCAGCTAGCGTTCTTTGAGACTGTGAATTAATAACAATATGTTGTCAACATATATGTAAGATTTAGCGATAATAATTATTGGGTTTTACTATTCTTAGGCAAATCTCAAATGTGAATGTAGGCTGACCTAATCAACATCATACCGACTGAATGTTGGTAAATTTGACTTAATTTTTTCTCTTTTACAGTGAAATTTTATTGACTAGCTTTATGTCATGAGGAATGAACCTGTTAAGTTGAAAAAGAATATTGTAAACTGATAATGATCCGATTGTAGATAATAATATAATCCTATGCTATGCACTTTAAAATATCTAACAAGGAAGCCTAATGATTATGTGGTGTATTCTACTTATGTCTGTCGACATAAGTAGTGTGTAACACCAACGGGAAGTGGGAAACCTGATAGCATAAGACTATGTAGGTTGACCTGAAGAGAACAGGAACAGAATTAGAAAGGAATTGAGAATCGGAAAAATCATACAGAATATGAAAGACCAATCATGAAAAATCTGCAAATGAAGTATTTAATATATGGTTTTCATATTTTACCAAAACATTCTGTAATTTTGTATTAAAATCCAATTGATCATCCCACCCCCTTGTATTCTCGTCCATAACAACTATACAAACTTAGATATTAGTTAATTTATCGTTTTGGCTACCATATACTTTATTCAAAAATCAATAATTTTCTAACATGACGGTAGGTAATGTTTTATGAATAACATATAACGTATATTATAAACAATAATCACATGAAAATTGTTCATTAATATAACTAAATATTGGAAAACAAATTTGGTTATTACTATCATTATTAATATTATACATTACTAATTAAAGTACATCTGTTATATAATATTTTATTTTTTAATCATTATTACTATTATTTTATTAATTACATAATGAAGATGAATGTGAACTAAATCTAATTAATGGGTACTTTATTTTTTAGATAGATACATTTAGAAGAAAACTATTTGATAAATTAAATTCACTCAGTATTGTTTGATTGAATCGTCCCATTGATGTTTAGGACTGCAACTGGTCAATCTCTAATTGACATATGTGCATACGGTGTGTATTGCCTCGATATAGCCTTAATTTACAAGCATTGTAAGCAAAGATGGATAGTGGATAGCAGTGGAATTGTAATTGAATCTACACATTTGAATTAAGTATTATACAATGAGAAAAAAATAAGTCCTTCACCTATGTGTAATCTATTATGATGAACTTTAGTAGCAGTTTTACTTTTTATTTATAAAATTTAACAATGGAGTTTTAAGACAATAATGAAAACTTGTTGTTTAGAAAGAGCATTTTGGTGCCGTTTTATTTTTTGAGTTGGATGGTTTATTTGTATAGTTCACACTGTCTTTCTAGACAATCTCGTCATCACGATAAATCTCAGGAAATGACTAATAATTTACGGGGAAATTTTAATAACACGGTTACTTTAAAAAATCTGTGACGACAATATTACTAACAGAGATAATGAAAATTTAATGATTAGACTATCCAATTAAAAGAACATAACAGCATTAAAAACAGTATTATAAGCAAAGATGGACGGTGGCTAGTAGTACAATCCAGGACGCATGTTTCGTCCCATCTGGGACTCGTCAGCCGGATGTACCTGCATCCCAAAGTCCTGGATTCCACTGCTATCCACCAACCATCTTTGCTTATAATGATACTGACTTAAGGCAATATCGAGGCAATACACATCGTATGCACATATGCCAATAAGAGACTGATCAATTGCAGTCCTAAACATCAATGGGAAGATCCTGGCAAACAATACCAAGTGAACTAAACATTGTTTTCTGATCAGGTAGTTGTTTTACAGGATTAATACTAATTGTTGGACGCTTTTCCGATTGATGAAATAGTCTAATTTGATGATGCTACGACTTTCCTCATTCCAGCTCTACTTCAGCTAACAAGGCATATTGATTTAAATAGTGACAAGGTATACAAAATGTTTCCGAATAAAAATCAGTGAAAGTAGATTGATCGCTGAGTAACCCCTGTTACTTCAAACTACATACCAAATCTAAACTTTGATTACTTGATTATTTATCAACTGCAGAATTATAATTTGAAGAGATTGGTGATCTGACAGCTTTTTCTATCCTAATGTAACTGATTACTATTTTTGCTATTGGGATTACTGAGATTAACATGACTTAATGAGATGAATAAACGAAACAATTATTTAGAGATCAAAATCCACAGTATTGGATATATATTAGGCAAATGAGTTATTCAGATCTTGTTGGCTTTTTTTCTGTCCAAAATCAATTATCAGAGACTAAAAGACATGACTCAAGAAGAAACGAAAAGACGCAGAAGCATTTTCTTTGAATTTCAAATATATTACCAACTCTACGTCTGTTTGCTCTCACTCTTACCTATTTTACCACAGGTTTTCTCTATTTCACAGTGATGCATCTCTCACTTTATCGGTTTTCCCTTTATTTTTGTGGTTTCGAGTTTTTGAAATGTAAACCAGTGTACCTTTAGATAAGGTTTCACGATGTCCTATCTATCTCTTTATGCATGTAACAGTGTACTAAAAGTGGACAAATGTAGAGTAATGACTTAGCTAATTAAGGATTTAGCTTTCAACCAATAGGTTATACAAGCGAGCCCTCTTTCACTGATTTCTGTTCTAGTTGTCACTAGCCATAGCACCATATGTCCACAACATAAATCCATACTCAAAAGATGAGTCACACAACTGGGGACAACCGAATGTATTCAAGCACAAATTACGGACCATCTCACTAAATTCTGATAACCATACAGTAAACAGTTAATTTGCAAAGTAACAATCAATTGTCTCAGTCTTAACTGTTCCTTCAGGAAATATCAGTCCGTCTTCTCTGATTTCATTGTTCATGTATTTTCATACCGATTGCGCCCCATTCCTGTTCGTTCCTTATCGATCTTCTGCCAAAATACATTCTATGCCTGACCATCACCGCAGCACTTTTTATCATTATACAAGGAATTTAATATGTAAAGTATGACATTTACGAATCATCTGGACTGGAATTTTTTGAAATCTTACCTGCTGTATTTGGTCTAGTGTAATCCCTGCAGCAATAGAAACCAAAATTTTATCATTTAAACGATCGGACAGACATTTTAGAGCCGGTAGTAATATGTGCGGTTTAACGCAGGCGAACACGACATCACTTTTTTCAACCATTGGTTCATTTGTTTGTATATATTCCACTCCATATTTCTACTCGAAAAAATGAAACAATTCAATAACATAAGTAAACTGTTATCTAGTAAGATTAGTTTTGCTATCATGAAAAATGTTTTCAACTGTCTACTGAATACATTGGGCTGGCAAAAAACAGTCCCAAATGCAACAGACAATAGCTAAGATGAGTTATGCATAAAAGTTGTCCACAAAGATCAATCCATTTGAATGAAAAGCGGGACATACCTTTTAAGACGGAAAAGTGATATATCCAGAAAATGTAGCAGAATTAAATGATTTCTTAAGATAGCCTAGTAAATTAAATGCAAGTATGGGTAAGTTACGATCGGTGAATTATACATATGGCCAAAGTTATCATCCACATTCCTCTGCTCCGGTCATTCTGGTTACCTATAAATAGTCACGATTTGTATGTAACTGTATATCAAACATTGATAATACGGTTCCCTACAATCTTGTCCTTTTCCTTTGTCTAGTTGGATTAGTCAAGAGTTAGAAATGTCACTAACGGATGAACGGAAAATAAATCATACATAAAAAACTAGTTTTTTTAAAAGTCAGCTGTTTTTTCCTATCTTAACAACTTAACCTCGAAATATCATTTCATTGTTTCTTTTTCATATTTATTAAAAAAGCAACTAACAGAGAGACTGAAATGGAATGTATCGTACTGCTCAACTTTTCATAGAACTGAAATCTACCTGGTACATTATTTTAAATAACGTATTTGTTGACTTATAGGTTACGCTCTATGTCCATATAAGCACTGTGTAGTGAACTCTTAATGAGTCAAAAGCTTCCCTCAAACAACATCAAATGATGTTAAATCAAGGAAACATTTAATGAAATCGTCTCGAAATTGATTAGAAAAGAAACAGGTTACCAATTTTCAGACATCTACGTAATAAATATACATTTTGTAAATAGGTATAACTTTTATACACAATGAACAAGTGACTATAAAACCTAACTTTATATTCTGTATTGTTGTGAAAAGTTAGTTTTCCAAGAGTCAGATATCTTCTATGTACTTTAAGAAAGATAAGTATTCAATCATATGTCAGTTGTTTGTAGCCGATACCTAAAAATATATTAACACGTTCTGTAATCTTTGAAAAAGGTAACTGTTTACAACCCCAAGAATACCTACACCATGACTTAAATCAGCTGTAATTAAAAATGTTAACCAACGTATTTACAAGCTGAGCACAATACATCCTTAAAACATAAGGGTTCTGACCTCGATGAGAACTAATTTCTCTCGCAACGTTCATATTTTTTACAAAACGTGTAAGGATCTTTACCCTTGTTCTCGCAAGAATTAAAGTGAAACGTTATGCAATACGGTATCATGTAATTTAGCTCATTCTGAAAATACGTCAATCTACCAAAACAAGGATTAACGACCATTATATGTTCAACAATTTACATACACACCAATTTTTTTCAAATACAACAAAAAATATTGTAATAATGATCGCTTTTAAAGAAAAACGAATGAAAGCAAAGCTAAAAAAAAGCTGATGATCAAATTCCCCATAAAAACAAGACAGTAACAACATGCTAGCTAAAGATTAATAATCAAGGATTTGTTTATCTATATATTTGATAATACAGCAATAAACAAAGAAATGAGATTCAATTTATTTGAGTTATTGAAAAATGAAGGCAGAAAACATTGTTTGATTAGATCAATTCAATAAGTTATTTATGCTTTTATAGATATAAAGTAACCTTGTAGATTTCAGATTGGAAAATAAACAACGAAATCACCAGAAATTAATTGCTTGATAGAAGGCGGAAAACAACTTTGATAGGATAAAATGATTTCATGATAGCGTAATTACTGTCGGTGCGTAATGATTTTAGTCTTGATTCGGTTAGCTATAGATGTTACAGTTTCCCATCGAAACTCAGGCAAATGAAAATGTCGTGGTTGACCAAAGGACAGGTAAAGGGGATTAAGAGTTCTATTCTCGCTCATTTGGTGGACACAGGTCATCAGGTTGGACTGAATAAAGCTTTTAAGGTTATCTACCATATTCCATCAAATTTGCCACATGGTTGACGAGCTCGTCTATTGCACATAGCTGAAGCCATCGCAGTTCATATTCACAAACCGAAACTTTGTATCCAAAAGAAGTTTGTACAACCACTCTCGCTACCTTGGCCATCGGTATAGCGGAGTTTGTAGCATAATTTAGGTAAACAATTATCTTATTCCTTCCATTTTTGTATTTTGTATTTTACTTATTCTCTTCATTCGTCTCTTGATTCTTACATAACTACTATATTACTGACCATTCATCAAAATATTTTGTTAGTTCTTTCTTCTTTTTTTATATATTATGCAATGTAGCAACTGATTGACTTTCGAATAATAACTTTGATTAGTGTTAATCCTTCTCTTCTAATTAATGTTAGTTTAAAATCGATGTCATTATATAATTATTACGTAACGTATCTACTCCATGAGTGTTATTTAATTATTGTAAATCACATATATATTAGTGCAGAGCCATGATGAGAAACTAATTGAAAAGAAATTTCTTCGCTCGACTCGTTCCTTTTTAATCTCAAGTTATGACAGAAAATATTCTCTCCTTTTTAATTTTAGTATCATGACAACATGGAAGAGACAGATATGTCTGACTCTACCTATGAAAACGGTAACCGTAATGTTACTTAATGAGCATGAAGGGGGGATGTTTATTCTTAGGAGGTAATCACTCAGTCGTATTGGTAGGTGATCAATTGTAAATTCTATGACAACTTTAACACTTGAACTAAACCATTTAAGTCACAGATTAGATTGACTTTGGACGAAAACAGCTAACGTTAGTCGTAAAATCTCCACCTCTCTAATTCTTGATAAGCGTCTTACTAAATATTCAAAAACTTATGGTGCAATGAAATTAATTTTTCTTCCGACAGAATATGACTGAATTTGAATAGCGAGTCAATTATTACGAATTATACGACTTGGCAACACTACATAATTGTGAAACTATCATACTATAAGCGATAAATAACAACCTAAGAACGAAGTAAATTAACTCACAGTTTTGACAGTTATCTGAAATCATGAAACCTATACCTTACATATGGTACGAGTAAAAGGAGTACGGTGGTGTTAGATATGGATGTTTACGATACGACTCACATCTCCACACCAACTGCCAATATCATTTACAACTATTTCGATAAATTAACAATATTTTCAAGATTAAAAGGTGGCAGCGCTGATTTCCATGTCAAAAACAAGCAACCACGTTAAAAACCAGTAGGCAGATCTTTAAAACAATGTAAATTTTAGCGTTAGCACATACAATGAAGGTTTAATTATTGGTAAAATAGCAAACAGTTGCATTATTCTACTAAAATGAAATCAGTAGTTTGCAAATGTTTATTAAAAATACTGGTATACAATCACACCACGCCAATTATAACTTACAGAACATAGGGCTTTCAGCGGTATCAGAAACTAAACAAATGTGTATGGCAAACAAATATAGGAAATCAAAACAAACTAAGGAATATAAAACTCAAATATTAAGCTGTTATTATGAGCAGCAAAGGTTAACTACGTATGGCAATATATAAAAAGGATTAAAAATATCGACATAAACCCGACCAGCTCCAAACGGATGTCTTTACACTGTTCATCGGTAATCAAGCAATTAATGCTTGCTTTGCAAAGAAAGTAACAACGTTAATAGTTAGGTCTAAAGAAAACTCAAAAACAAAAACTGATCGTTTCGTTTGAGCACAGAACCATTAATTAATACGGTTAGTATTTCTACTTACTTTAACAACAGTACACAAGCATTTACGATTTTCGGATGGAATTATCATGTGCTTGATTTCTACAAGTCAATCTACTTCCCTAAACAGAATAAAAATCATTCTTTAATCAATTCATAGAGTAGTCATAGAATACAGTAAGGAAATTCCTTTAACCTTTTTTCAATTTACGCCTTACATAATACTCAGATTAAAGTTTGATATCAGCAGGATCGATTTGTAGGAAGTAGGATATTTCCTAGTCAACTCCATCAAAATTCGCTCAGATAATGCAGTACAAAAGAATAAAGAACTGTGGTAGATATATTGCACCAGAAATATATCAATTAAAGCACTGAGCAGTTTTGAGAGAACCATTTGCATTCATTTCTCGCCATTTATGACAACAGTTAAACAGTGAACTATCGTAAACAGAGGTGGTGACCCTAAAGATATAATGATTTCTTCTAGATCACAGAACATAAACCAATATCATACCATAATTTAGATTTAATCACTAGATACATTTTTTTAATATTGCGAACGAGATACCTGTAGGACAATTAATAACAAATTGAAATGATGAAGACCAATGTACAATATACTCATTCTAATTCACGTTATAAATCTGTGAACAGGTAACAGGTGATATTAAGGACATGAATCAGTAGAATGCGTGATTTTTAGTAACATTAAGCCCTTAAATGTTTACATGGTAAATAACTTCAAATTGTGTTTGCTCGTTACCTATATTCTGTAAGAAAAAAAATAATAATTCTCTCCCTTTTTCATTAGATTTGATTCTTTTACGGTTTTAAGTGGAAAAAACATCTTCCTAATAGTCACTAATGTATTTTAACATCTCAGCTGAATTTCAAGTTATCACAATATTTTATTGGAGAGGAGGTGCAGTGATTTTTACTTTTTGGCTGACATTTTCAGTATCTATTAAGAAGGTAATGAACATTACTAATGACTAATCGATGAAATCTAGTAAACAAATATGGGTTTACCGACTCGTTTCCGAACCACACTTTAGAGCTCAGCATTAAAGTTTCGAGCTGGTTGCTTGAACTAAATTAGTTACAAACGGATTACTTGTTATTTAGTGATGGAAAGTGGAATGTTAAGACTAATGAGTCTGTGCTTAACACGTTTATCTTTATGCGAATGCGTGTAAAAAATGAAGTTATTCATGGCAAGATAGATAGATCAAACGGAAGAGAAATAGCAAGAAGAATCCTCTGTTCTCTTGATTAATGAAACCGAAACTCAAGAAGCAAATAAATAAATCGAATAGCTAGAAAAGGACTTCATTGACTGTTTTATTAAAATATTGAGAACTCAAACGATTATTGTTTTGAGAATTTATGTTGTACATTGCCAAGTCTATCATATTCTCGATACTTTTAGGTTTCTCTTAATAGATTCCCTATGGCTGTATTGACAGAAAATTTCGATAACATTATAATTTATAGATTGCCTTTGAGTGACGCCAGTGACCTTAAGAATGTCTACCTACTTACTTGTGCCAAATGAGGGTTATAAAGTAGTTCACAGTTGATGGTTAGGAATTAGACATATGATTTTTCATCACGAACTTACATCAGCTAAAGTGCCAAAAAGCTATTTAGACAAATGAGTGAATGAATTTCATGCCGAAATCCAAGACCTTTTATCCTAAATCTGATTTGTTCGTCCATAAATTATAGTCTCACCCAAATTCCCGCTAATTTTCTACTGCTTGAAGTCGTGTAATTAAGTATTTACAATTGATTGATCACTGGGTAGTGACCAATGTTATGCGTGTCAAGTGCATCTTATTGCAAATTGGATTCTACTGGTCAGTTTGCCATGTGTTCATGGGATTGAGTCCACCAGGGAGCATCAGTTCCCTTAAGATTACAGATACACCTTGCTAACACGTGCCGAATAGCACGAAACCCAGGTTTTGCTGTCGACTACCTCTAACCACCATCCTACATATAACTAGGTGTTATAGTTAACTGTTGTGTGAATGGAACAAATAGCTTATCTCATCTTAGCTGGTACATAAACGGTCACTAGGAGGGTAACCTGGAAATCGCTTGTTCGGGATCCTACCAGATTTGACAATCTTTTACTACTTGAAGGCGTTCATTGTTACAGCTCAACCTACTAACCAAGGGTACTGAAAATAGAACGAATGTTTGTAAGTATCTTCACTGTAAATAGTTCTTGCATAAAACATCAAATGTGTACATATTGAGTTGACAAGTATCAGAAAGGGATGTAAAATAACTACCTGAAATCCACTATTAGTTAGTCTCACGAAAAATAAGACAAATTAAAACGAAACACAGTATGAAACCACGTAAATAATAAGTTGAATAGTTTGTTTTGTTGAACTGGAACTATTTTACCAAGAAAAATAAGCTATAAAGTAAATTGATCTACATCAAAAACACAAGTTGTTTACATCTTAAGGATAAATTAATCTGACAAAATGTTATATTTCAAATATACAAGAATAATATTGTACATGAGGTATACCTCTGCATCTGGAAATGATAAACCATACCGATCAGTCATTGTAACTTGAGAACCATTGATTACATCTGGAATTTCAGAAAAAGGAACATTACGAAAAATCATTGTACACAAAACTTATAGCAGACTACAAGGACTCGAAAATGCAACAAGTTTGTTAGCAAAAAATCTGACGATGACTAGTAATAGAATCGCTTTACAAAACACAAGTAGGAAAACCCTTTGGATCCAACATATCAGCCACCACTTTATTTAATAGGACCTTTTATATTCCTCTTGTAAATTATGTGGTCAGTGTGATTAAATACAAATACCTGAAACAATGGACACTTCGTACAAGTTTACTGAGGAAATTGTGACTAATATCATTTGTGAATTGATGAAATAACCTTTTGTTCGTCTTTTCTGTGTGCTGTTAATTTTTAATGAGAAAACATTTTAAAATCACAATCAGTTAAAGTAACTTAGCAACTAAGTGAAAGTTCGCGCGCTCAGTGTTCGATCTTGTTTCGTGTGAGAGCTGGTGATTCTGTTTAATTACCTAAAAGAGGGTGGGGTGGGGTCTAAACCCATAACTTAATAGTTGATAGCCGATTGATTTTGTAGTCAAGCCACCAATCTACTTCAATTCATAAAATGATTATACTGACAAGCAGTTGATGGGGTTCAAGTTTAACATTTTTCGGTGGTATTCAGCTTTTTCAAGAGTCAAAATGATTGTCATTTAGCTCCATAGTCAAAAATTCGGGCATTGAACTATTCTATAGCTCCTAGATGGGGATAGTCGAACAAATAAGTGGTGTTTCATTACGATTACCTACGAATCCGACAAGTCCTCCTACAATGTGTTTTGTTTAAAAGGTTAATCCAGTACGAATAAAAATGATCAAACATGCGATAGACTTATGATATTGAAAATACCTACTATATAAAAATAGTAAAATTTCAGTGAACTTGCCCTTTTAAAATTGGCATTAAACCATGTCATTAAGAGCGCTACAGCCCTAGGAGGGCTTTCCCTTAGAGACGAATGCAAGTATAGGATTTATAAAAAGCAAAAACGATAATGCTTTGCTTCCCTTGAAAAAATGACCGAATGCATAAAACAAGAAAACAAATAAGGTTACATCCATTAATTCATTCCACAGCTAAGAAATATATAAAGATAGGATAACGAGAGTACTATCCTAACCTCATTGAATAAAGTGCAAATATAAGCATAAAAATATAGTAGGACAGCAACTGGAATAATTCTCGGCAACTCATTTAAGCGCTCAGTTAGGGCGAATCATAAACTCGAATACAACCGTCTGCTGCTACAGTCAAGTATGGTTTACACATAAAACATAAGTGAGTGAAATTATTCTTCATCCTAACATTTTAAAAATACAAATAATAAGTCAATTTCTTGTACCATCATTGGGGATATTCAACTGCACAAAAGCAGCCTACTAGTACAAGTGAACTTTGAATTCAGTCTCCACCTAATCTCTTCATATTGTGTCGTCTTTGGTTTTATTACTGCTAAGAACGCTCTTTGGTTATTTCGTTTGTCTTAGTACACCATTTTACAACCTTATTTCCAAAACTACTGCAAATTTACTTAAACACATATAACTGCATATCTGATCAATATTCTTTGACGAATCTAATAAATAATTCTACTCAAAATATAACTTCTCCCACTGGAATGCTGAGGGCCAAGTGAGAAAACGAGGAAGATATCTCCTATTTGAGAGCAATCATCACAACATAGAAACCGGTACGTACGTACATCAGTTAAAGTTGCCATACCACATTAGCACAAAGAAATGAAATTGTCAGATCGAATCTCAGAATAGTAGAGGCATGAAAGATATGACTCCAGAAATAAATATAAATTAGCGAAATAAAAATAAATAAATATTATGAGGAATTTAGAATCTCGGAGTTTGGAGAAAGACAAAGGACGAATTAACCTGCTCCATTACAAACGATTTTGAACCATGTCACCCAAAGCCTATAACTATCGGTCACGATAATCACACTGACCCCAACCAGGTAGCTTACATCTATTAACATGACCAAGTCCAATTGTCACGGACATCATGGATTGATTATATGTTTTGGTTTTTCCACCCTAGCTTCCTTTCAGCCAACTCCTACACCACACAAAATCTCCCGCCAAGTAAGGCGGTGGTTGGAAATACGTAGAACATATCTTAAACACCTCAGTTGATGAAGATTTGCTACCTCTTCAGTAAACTTGCCATTCTTACCTTGGGCTTTATTCCTAACCCAAGCACTGTTTACTCTGTGGTCTCAAAATACACGGACGATGCTTCAGAGATACTCATGACTGGATACCAGTGACCTACGAATATTCTCTTCTCAGTGGTCATGTTCCACATCCATAACATAGAACGGAGAGAACTGCTGCGCAGCAAATTCATCACTTGTTTGGCAGACGGATATGTTGCCTACACCACAAGTGACTCAATTTAGCAAAAGCCAGTCTAGTCTTCTGAATCTGTGCTGAAATTACGTCAAACACCAAACCATCAGCACTGATGAGACTCTCAAGATAAGTGGAGCAGTCGACGCGTCCAACTACTTCACACCTTATCAATAGCTCATGCAATGACGCAAGCCAACCCTGAAATAGCATTTCGCATTTAGAGGGAGAGAACCTTGTCCCAAACACGCTTCCATTGTTGCTTAAGGTGGTCAGAAAACTCTGCATTTTGTCAGCGTCTTCACCAAACAGAACCATTTCATATGAGCTGACTATTTAGAAAATCAGGCCATCCAAAGTTTAAAAAAATGAAATATACACAATTTGATCTTCGAACAAAAATAAAATACATAAGGTTCGAGAAAATAACCAGAAAATATGAAATAGAGCATTCATAACTACTGTGAACAAACTAACACTTCACAGTTAAGAAAACAGAGTTTCGTAACAGATTCAGTAATTACTCTGAAGGTTAATTTTGTCACGAAATTGCATGTGAATAATCTTATCCTAGTATGAAAGTAAATGAAACTATGTCAAATAACCGAACAAAACAGAAAATACAGAGCTTACAGAACTACGTTAAACTATCGATACATAAAAAAGAAACATAATAAAAGCAAATAAAAAACGTACTTGAGGCTAGAAAACCTTTGACCAATGCTTGAGACATGTTACCAGATCCCATAAACCCGTAATGCTTGGAAGCCAGAACAGTTTTTATGTCAGCAGACATTGCTTTATGATTACCCCAAAAACAAATATGAGAAAACTTTAAATGATTAAAAGGTTATCGAAAATATTTTATCTATTTTATTTATTTAGACACATAACTATTGGTACAAGGAGCCAGATATATATGCGCCACACAAAAAATCGTCATTTCATTCAATGGTGTGAAGGCTATGATACTGCCCGGGTGCCCAGACTGAAGCAGGCGGTTTTCTTAGATTGCCACACTCGGAGCCTTTGATCTAAAGGTCTAATCCACAAGGCAGTAGAGCAACATAAGGAGATGCAGTCCCATGGTAGCCGGTGACCAATAGTAGGTTCATACTCTACTTGTTCCCTCAGGATACTGGAGCCCATGTCCACCATCGGTTTGGAACCAGGATTTTCCAACCCCCCTAAGTGGACCCTCCGTGTCTAACAGCCCGGACATTCACTTTTCGTCCTCTTAGTTTCGTAAACAACATCCTCACCACGAGAAGGCAGTGAGTAGGACTTCCCTGGTAGTGGCTGTATACGCGTGGCCGTGTGAGGGAATTTCGAGAAGGAGGGCGGGCCCTCCCCACTCTCGACCATACCAGGGCATTTGGGGGCATAATATGTCGACAGATATACCTTTAAAAGTTCTCACACTATACAAAAGAACGATTAACATGTAAGACTTGCCATAACGTTTAGTATATATAACATTTTTGAAGAGATTAGATTTATTAGCAATACAACAATTAAGCATCATTTGGATGAATGGATGGTCAAGCTATTCTGAAGACTAATTAACTACTAATAGTCGCTATTTTATCAATTTAGTGTGTATCACCAAAGTGTGCGCATCCATCAAAAAGTGATTTATGCAATTATGCTTATATATACATATATACGAATCAATAAACAAATCATATTTTGCACGAATATGTATGGATGTAAATAAATCACTGTCCAAGGTCAATTGTTTTTGGAATCAATGACATTTTTTTTAATAATAGTTAAATCATTATATACATGCACATTGTGAAGTCACTACAACTAATGATGTATAGAAATGAAATACTATTGATCGAAATAGCTATTTTTAGACTGACTGTCTAACACATCTATGATTTCGAAGGGTTCTGAGTACATTCTGCAAACTTATGTTTATTTATAGAATTGTGCTTCTAGAAATTCTAATCTTGGTCGAGTTCTTTAGCCTAATAATGAGAAATTCATGTTCAGCTGTGATAAAATCAAGCCAATATTATTCCCATCTTGGGATACAATCCTTCTACTACAATGTTTCCAATAAAACTTATTGTTCCAAACATATGTGAAGGATAGAAAGTTATCTTTGGGAAAAATATTATCCACAATGATTAAGATTATTGTGAACCACAACGATTTTGCTCAAAGTAGACGTCGTTCAAATTGTCTCATAAATAATTACCTACCCGTAAAGGTAAAAAAAACGTGACTCAATAAACATTTTAGGTTCATGGAGTACAAACTTTGTAAGTTTTAGAGCGGTTACCATGACAAATCGATAACGGCTAAAACGTCATTGTAAATCTAGAAATACTACGACCCTTTTCCACAATACCGACCAACCCAGTGAGAACTAATGACGTGTCTTTAAATTTACTTTGGGAGCAACAAACTCCAAACGTACACATTGGTTTTAAAACTTTCAATTTTATTCCTAATGGTTGAAACTATGTCGAGGTTTTGTCTTAACCTTTAACTTTCTTGTCCCACCAGATCATTTGGAGATGTAAGTAAACTGAATGAGTTCGTAAATAATGAAAACAAAAGATAGGGAGTCTTTTATGGAATCAAATAGTGGGTTGTCTTTTTTTAATAGGAAAGTAAAACTATTACAGTTGGAATTTTTACTACTTAGGATCTAAACCGTGAAATGGGAGACATTTCTTAATACAGATATATAGAAAATGACTTCATGCAACTCGTTAATCCAGATTTCGAGTTAGTACCCTTGAAAGATATGTTTTTGATCACGTTAAATTTAGATGTCCTAAAAGCCTCCTAACGACAAGATTAGACTACAAAACTGAACGAACGATCGTTTCAAAACCTTAAACATGGAAAATCTAGATGCCCTTCATCCACGAATAATATCAAGACTATCAGATATAATCGTTTGATTGTTGAGGATATTATTTCACGTGTCAGAGAACCGATAAAAACATTTAAGAGTGGAGCGATGCGATCACCAATTTAGTCTATGATATTGGGTGTAAATATATGGTGAATATTGAGCCAATGAATTATAACAGTGCACCTTTGAATTAGCACAGGGCCCCCAAATGCCCTGGTACGGCCGAGAGTAGGGAGAGTCCGCTCTCCTCGAAATGCTCTCACATGGCCACGCGTATATAGCCTCTGACAGAGAAGTCCTACTCACTGCCTTCTCGTGGCGAAGGTGTTATTTACGAAATCGAGAGGACGAAAAGCGAATATCCGTCGCTTTAACCGGGTCGATAGACACGGCGAGTCCACCTAGGGGAGTCGGAGAAACTCCTGATTCCAATCCAATGGTGCACATGGGCTCCAGTATCCTGAGGGAACAAATGGCGTATGAATCAATTGTTGGTCACAGGCTATTATGGGACTGCATCTCCTCACGATGTTCTACTGCTTTGTGGATCAGACCTTTGGGTCAAAGGCTCCGGGTGTGGCCCCCTAAGAAAACCGCCTGCTTCAGTTCGGGCATCTGGGCAGTATCACAGCCCTCACACAAATCGAATGAGATATGTGCGGTGTATATGTATCTGGATGCTTTCTTGTACCAATATTTATGTGTTTAAATAAAATAATAAAATAATCCGCGTCGTTACTCAATGTAATGTGAAAACGGGTAACCTCCAGGTCAAGCTTTATTATGGTTCAATTCTCCTCTGGTTGAATGATCCGACTTTTAATCTTTGAGAATATCAAATAGATAGCGCATTAAAACACACTGATTATAAATTAAGGACCACAGTTAACTGCATCATTTGTTCTAAAGTAATCCAAGTCTTACTGTGTTTGGAAGACTACTAACAACCTTAACGCGTTATTTAGTTTCGCACCCAAGAGATGGGACCCCATAAATTAGTTCAGTCAGACAGTCACAACGTAGAACTTCGTACGTACGTACACCAGTTCGAGTTGCCATACCACATTAGCACAGAGATGCAGTTGCCGATTCAAATCCCACAGTGGTAGAAGTAGTAAGAGTATAAGCATTAACGTGAAAGATTAGGGTTTGAAGATGTTATTGAAGGAGTATAATCCGGTGAAATAAATTTGGAAAGAGAAAAAAGATAGAGACATGAAGAATTCAGAAGATTAGAATTTGGCAGAACATTAGTTAATTTCCTAAATATTTGACAGATACCCTATAACTGCCTAACAGTACGGTAACTGGAGTGATCATATTCTGCTGATACCTACTCTGAAAAAAAAACCTTGTAAGTTTTGGTCACTGTTTTACAGTGTTTAGGACACAGTACGATTACTCCGCTACTATGTGCCACTTCATTATTTTGCTTGGAAGTATCTACCTGAATGAACTTATATACCAAGATCGAATGCCTCAACCCATAACGTCTGTTTCCTACAATGAAACAGTCCTCCGACGGAACTTTTATTGAAAACCGATTCCCACTGTTAACGTTTTCAGTCTAAACATTTGTTCCTACACCAATTCAAAGTATAATATAAGTCAGTCGACTTTCTATAATTGTTGTTTGGTAAGAGACGTAGAATTGCTAAAAATCAGTTACATTGATCTAGTTGCATCTATCCCTTGCCTTCCGCTAAGTTTGAAGTCCAATACTATTCCTAACTTCCTATTCTTTAGTTTTGCTTGTTCGTTTTGAACCGTAGTTCCTAGCCCTAGGTTGGTGTAGTAAGTTTCGGTAATATGTACGCAGTATTATAGGTCTTCAAAATTAGATTGGAATATTACATAAATTACGAAAAGACTGTGTATAAATCATGGATATTAAGCTATTTAATTATTGTAACTCAAACCAATTTTGTACTGTTTCACTATATTCCCAACAGTTTTGTATTAAGTTTGGATTTCAGTTGAAATCCAACAGTTGGATTTCAGTTGCACCACACTTAGCAGTTAGTCCGACCCGTTTGAGAGCCAAAAACAATTGCATGTTGAACAAAACCCGATTTATATTGTATTTATGAACTTGATGAGCAATTGACCATATAGTCAAATACTTAACCTACAGTGCAGAAAACAGCAGAAACAAGTGAAACCCTAAAACGATTAATCAGAATCAGTTACCCACAAACTTGCTGACAATCCTCAATCAACAGGAAATACATTAAGGATGAAAAGGATATGCTACTGCAAGATATTTGGGGAATACTGACCTTTAATCTCTGTCAAGATCTCAAGATCTTGACAAGGAAGCAACTTTGCTTAGTGAAGTGTTAAAGCTGAAGAAAATAACCCTCGGTCGATGAATTTGAACTTTAAGGGGATTATAAGGAAACTACAAGAAGACTACGGGCGAAGT